CAAGAAATACAACAAAATGTCTAAAAACACAGTGGCTGCGTGGCATTTCAGAATTTTTTAGCTTCTTCGGTAACAATAACTGACGGTAAACGGGGCAAAATTCGAAAACTTCGGCGTGAGCGGTCGACCGGCCAGGATTTGAATGGGGAGGGGGGTGCGTAAATGCCGCCTTGGGCAACTATGGTGGTCCCTATCTCCCACACCAACAATCATATATGAGAACCTTTGTACCAACAACTGTTAAACTTTGGAACAGTCTTCCAAGGGAGATCGCTAAGATCAGAGACAAAGATTCAAACGTGAAGTTAATTCTTTCCTCAGCGCAAAACTCTGACAGCGTTTTGTCTAGGCAGCCCTGCTGCTAATGCTGAGTGAGAGCTGACATAGATTAAAAAAGAATTTTAAAAAAAACTATGGCGCTTTTCTATTACGGGCTAGCTGGGTCCCGGCAAGCGTTAGAAATGATCTAAATTGGCTTCACCGAAAATCTGCACCAATTTCCTGGAGATCTTAGAAAAATTGAAGCTCTGCCCATATCTTTACTGTAACAGTTTACATGCATGGATTTTTGTCCGACAAATATGACAGATTGGGCAAAATTTTTGGCCATCATGAGCGGCAAAAATCCGTCAAATGACGGAAAAACGGGCGCTGGCTAGAACCCTGATATAGATATATAAAGATTCGACTGTGCGACACCCCTACTATCAATCAAGTTAACTTGGCTGATGTGAACGACGAGGCACCTCGGGCTACAGACAGGTAGGTGGTGAGTTTTGCATATTTGATCAGCAAGAATCGAAGTTGTTGGGCAACTTTCTGGGCGTAGCCATTCTGAGCGGCGACCAGTGAAGTACAGAACCCATGACGGTCTCAACAAAGACTTTGGAAAAAGGTCTGTCACGTTTTAAGTCACAATGTATAGTCACAATATAACATGATAGTGTGCTGTAGTGGTTCTAAGGGATCATTCTTCTCGACATGGGGGTCAAGAATTTGAATCCTGTCCTCTCGTGGCTTGCCCGCCACTTGTTGGCTCTGAGGACAAAATGTCTCTGCGCATTGTGTTTGTCCAAAAGAGCAGACTTTTTTTCAGCACATGCCGTATATGCTGTACGTATAATTTATATATACTCACATAGCATTGACTGCTCTTTACTCGGAGCAGAGCAGAGAATATCTTGTTCTGTTGTTAAAGCTTAACTGAGTTGAGATTATCGTCACTGTGTTCCATTTTTCACCCTTTGCCAACCTAATGGGTTTAAGTTAATAATAATTCTATGGGCCTAAGTGAGGGCCAAGAGTTGTCCTCTCCCCAGTATGTACAGTTTAATACTTAAATGTTAAACTTGGGACTGGTAATGTTCCTCCTAAAAGGTTAGTAATACATAAAAGAAGAAAACGCTTTGTGGGCCAGTCACATTCGTCGTGCGACAGGTTTACAACAGTACAGCAGATTGAGTGGACAGCGGGTGGATGCCATGGTCGTACCAAAAATAAGCTGTTTTGAAATATATGGAGCTGTAGTCATTTGAACAAGAAAACTTTAATTTACTTTTTATAGCTTAGTACAGACACCCTACTTGAGGCCCCATGTGTTTCGCTGAAATGGGCGCAACTCAAATCACTTTAAGGTCAAATATTTTGCAGTAATTAGAGTTGAACACTGTCTGCTTTAGACAAGGCTTTGCGATGAAAACAGTTTATAACATTGAAAATTTGCTCTTCCTGTGAACAGAAAGCAAATCTGATTAATGTATCTTAACATAATATTAGCTGCTGCCTTTTGGAAACCCTCAAATTGGCTATAATCAAGGCCTTTTGGACTGGGGATAAATCATCAAGTGTCAGCTGACAAGTGGGGCCAGTACAGTGCAGTTCACGGGATATGCATCAAATCCAACAAGATTTGTCAACATATCCTGCGTGATTTTGCGGGATATCCTGCGTGATTTTGCGGGATATCCCGCAGAACGCTAATCCTCTCCCGTAACACAATCTTCGGTGTAAAACCTAAAGTTTTCCACATTTCTAGATAGATTTTTACGGACAGATGGTGCAGCCCATGTTTGAGTCTAATGTGTGGAAAGTTAGTGTAGGTTAGTCTGCTATGTTTTGAGAGTTCAACTAAGAGTGTTCAATATAAGGCTAGGGCCGAACCATCCTTACCTGGACGTTGGGCCAGGCAGCGTAAACTACAAGTGTATGGCTGACCAACTCCAATGGCCAGCTACATTTTTTAGACCAATTTCTACTATTTATTGAGCCTGCAAAAGAGTCTGGACAGGTGGAGACTTAGTGCCAAACACGTTCAAGTTTCGAATCTACAAATCTCTAGCTTTGATGCAAAAGCTTCGTGTGTGTGTGTACTATGGGTGTGTGTATATGTGCGCGCGCATGTGAGTGTGCGTGTGATGCTGTAAGTGTGTGTGAGTGTGTGTGTGCGCGCATGTATGTGTGTGCGTGTGTGCATGTGTGTGTGTGTGTGTGTGATGCTGTAAGTGTGTGTGAGTGTGTGTGTATATATATGTGTGTGTGCGCGCATGTGTGTGTGCATGTTTGTGTTGCACGTGTGCTTTTGTACTGTCGTTGTCCACCTCCAATGGTTGAATGTCAATCCTTTGGTTTGACTTTTTTCTCCAGGATTGCTACATGCTTGACTTCTGCTGCCAGACAAGACAGGAATAGTAGACGTCAAACATGGCTGCTCAAGGTAACTATCTGTTAGAAGAAGTAAACATTGGAGCACACATTGTTTGATAATTGATACAATATATGCAAGCCTGGACCCAAATATTCTTCCTCTTGGTGATCTATTTGGCACTTGTAACATGTGCTTTATTACCTCCGGGGGAGGAGACATCCTTCCGCGGAAGGGTTTTGTGAGAGATTTATATTTTCATGTTCGCAGCTGTTTCTCGCGTTTTGGTGGACGGACTCTTTTGAGACTCGCTATATGTTTTGCTATTAGGCTGCAGATGATGCACGTTCTTTTGTTTTTATTGTATATGTGTTTTCGGGCGTGAAAATGGTGCCTTTTGGTGGCCCCAAAACACCCCTTTGAGTGTGAAAGTGGTCGCGACCGTTAACCTTTGGCGTGTTTAAGCTATTTTCGGCCTGGTCCACGTATATGACCCCTCACACAGAGGGGTGTCCGGTCTCGATAATTCTTTGTTTAAAACTCTAACGTTATATAAAAATATACAATAAAAAGCCCAGAGATATGAAATCTCAGATTTTACTTGTTCTTACTTAAAGTTACTTAATACTTGAATACTTATTCTTCTTTTAATGATAATTATGCTATATTAACCATCATAAGTTATAATTACCTTTCGGTAATGGAGAAGACTCAAAATTAGTCTTGACTAAGATCATATTGAACAACATATTGGTCACAAAATTAGTTTGTCTTTAGGCCACACCAATTTAATTTCTTGGTTAACGGATTCGCCCGCTTCATTTTTCTTCTGATTTGCAAAAAAAAAAAATTCAGAATCAACTGCAAAATGCTCATATTTTGCCCTGAACAGTTGAAAACAGTCCTTTTCTTCCTAGTTGTTAACAGTTATTACATCTATCAATGCAGTGGTATCATTAAAAGTTCAAAATTCATTGTTTAAATTTGAACCAGCTTGGTGTGTTGACTTCATGGCTTAACTACCATTTGGGGCCGTAATAGAATGCCTAGGCCTGTTTTTATTATTTTTTGCCCGACCGCTCCATTATTTTTCTAGTAAAATCGGTTAACCAAGAAAGTAAATTGGTGTGGCCTAAGGGGTTAAATAAGCAAGGTAGGGTAATTTTTTTTGCTTTGGATTGTAGAAGAATATATCCATTTCACAATTATAATGACAGTTGATATGGTTGATTTGATTCTAGTTGATGTGAAGAAAGTCTTCAGGACAGTCATCACCAACGTGCCACATAGGTGGGAGGACTTGGCCGACGAACTTGGGTTTGAGCGAGGCGAGAGAAGTGCAATCGAATCAGACAAGCGTGACGCCAGTCACAAGTGCAAAGAAGTGCTTGAAAGGTGGAGAGAGAGAGAAGGAAGAGCTGCAACTCTACAAGTTTTGAAGAAAGCCCTCATCGACATCGGCGAACGGCGAACAGCAGACAGCTTAGGAGGTGGGCCAGTAAATAAATCGTGAAATGGGGGAAATTGTAGTAATGTACGCACGTATGCAAATGTTTGCATATATGCATAAATCTTTCATATATTTATTAACTAAATGAATGAATGAATGACTGGTTTATTAGGTAAAACATTGCAGCCATCAGGCTGAAATACGTTTCACTTACATAGGACACAACTCAATATGACGAATAGCATAAAATATTACAAAGTATTAAAATGTCGATCAAAATAAAATATTACAATAACAAAACTATACTTGCATATATGGGAAGATACCATGTTCCCGACACAACAACAGCACACTTCCAGGTTGACAAAGCACAAAATTATGATTGTGGAAAGACACCATTAATACGCAAAGAAATATCATATTTTCCCTAAGGCTCTTTGAATTGTGCATATTTTCATTAAATGTGGCTATGCAACCATGGAAAACAGCATTTTAGTGCATATTTTTACACAAAGAATTTATCAAAATCTAATCATTTTGAGGTCTCATCAAGACCTATACCCAACTACTGACTCGGAGTAAAACAATCCATCAAAGCCTTCTCTTTTTTACCTCCATGAGTTATCGTGTCCACAGACAGACACACACACGAACACCTCTGAAAACATAACCTTCTTGGCAAAGGTAATGAAAAGAAAAGAACGTGCATCATTAGCAGCCTAATAGCAAAACATATACCGAGTCCCAAATAAATCTGTTCACCCCACCACGAGAAATAGCTGCGAACATGAAAACTGCAACCAGTTATTATAATACCCTTCCGTGGAAGGAATCTTATCTCCTTCTGATGTGTTTTTTAATCAGTGCCACGCTCTCTCTTACAACATTGTGTATTTTTTTATCCGCGTCAGGTGAGGGAATACCACAGCCTGCCGTGCCTCCCCAGAATCCAGGCTCAGGACCAACAGGTGGGAATTGGTCTTTGTGGTTCCCAACTGTAACTAACAGATGGGTTCACGACCCCATCACTCTAGTGAAACCTGACCTCAAATAACTCCCAGTCAAATTCTGGACACTCACACACACACACACACACCATCACACACACAATCACCCACACACACACACACACACACACAATCACCCACTCACACACACACCATCACACACACAATCACCCACTCACACACACACCATCACACACACAATCACCCACTCACACACACACCATCACACACACAATCACCCACTCACACACACACTCACTCACACACACAATCACCCACTCACACACACACCATCACACACACAATCACCCACTCACACACACACTCACTCACACACACAATCACCCACTCACACACACACCATCACACATGTACACAATCACCCACTCACACACACACTCACTCACACACACCTGCACACACACACACCATCACACACACAATCACCCACTCACACACACACCATCACACATGTACACAATCACCCACTCACACACACACTCACGATCACACACCTGCACACACACACACAATCACACACACGCACACACATCATCATCACACACACACACACACAATCACACACACGGACACACATCATCATCACACGCACACACAATCACCCACTCACACACACACTCACTCACACACACAATCACACACACACACAATCACACACACACACACACATCATCACACACACACAATCACACTCACGATCACACACATGCACAATCACACACACAATCTACACACACACACACACACAATCACACACTCTCACACTCACACACGCATCTACACACACACAATCACACTCACACACAATCACACACACACACACAATCACACACTCACACTCACACACGCATCTACACACACACAATCACACTCACACACAATCACACACACACGCACACAATCACACACACACACACTCACACACAATCACACACACACACACAATCACACACTCACACTCACACACACACACACACACACACAATCAAACAGTCAAACAATCAATGCGACCGAAAGCAACCATTGATCCGTTAACATGGGGGACTTTTTTTGACACAACCATCAATGATTATTTCGATAAAGGATAGCCAAATTGACAACTTAGTAATACCTGCATTAGAGTCTGATTTATCCTTTGGGTGCTTGAAATGATTGTTGACACAGTTTTCAAATTGATAAGAGTATAGGGTAGGGTAATTTTTTTTTTGCTTTGGATCTTGGAAGAAATACAGCAGTTAATATGATTGCTCCCTTTCCAGTTGATGTGGAGAAATGCTTCGACCAAGTCATCAAAAGAGTGAGCAGCAGGTGGAAAGATTTGGCCCGCAAACTTGGGATCGGACGAAATGAGATAAAAAACATCGAGAAAAAAGAGGATGACCCAAATGAAAATTGCAGAGAGGTGCTTGACCTGTGGAGAGAAAGAAATGGAAACGACGCAACTCCACAAGTTTTGAAGCAAGCCCTCATCGACATCGGCGAACGGCAAACAGCAGACAGCTTAATATAGGAGGTGGGTCTTTAATCTTGAAATGGGGGGAGGACAATCATGCTCTATTCTTAACCCAAACCACACCTCACAATTTGACACAGATGCAATTTTTTAATCAGCGCCATGCTCTTTCTTACGGTATTGACTTTCCTAATATGCATTGATTTTAACAACACACAATGAACAGCTTGACGATAAATTGTTATTAGTACAATTCGTATCATGATTTTGTGCTGTCATTGTATATTCTCCGTCATCTCAGATCCAATGATATGTGAAACTCAGTGCTTTTAGAAAAATCCAAACTCCAAACAAAATAAGAAATATCGCACACTTTTCTTTGAGTCAGTTTCCAATGATTGTTCCTTTTGTCAATAAGGTGATGACATTTAAATTAAAGTCACTGTGGTGTTAATTATCAGGCAAGGAAATGCAAGGGCCATTTAAAGAAGGTTTGTCCTTAACCCACCTCAGCTTAGTAACTATAATTACACTGAAATGAAGGTATTGTGTGACAATTTGTACACAGTGGCTTTAAGATAGAGACACGCATTTCAGCCTCCGACAAGAATCCAAAGTCGGTCCAGGCAAACCTGTAGTGAAAAGTCTTCAAATAAAAGCTGTTTTTAATCATCCCTTAGAAATTGATTAGTGTTTTATTTTGTTCATTACCGGAAGTGCCGTGACATGAACACTCAGATATACCTGGCAGATGATGGCAAAGGGAAATCTACAAACACAAACCTGACCTGTTGGATCTGACATCACCCCCACCACAACTGTCAACAGTCAACAGCCCAACTGTTTCTAGAAGCAATACAAATGATACAATCAACAAATTTTTACTATGCAGATGAAGTTTCATACTATACACATAGATATAACTAAATTTGTAAAAAGCAATTTTCTTCCAATGACAAGTACAAAGAGACGTTTCGAACAGCATCCACCATCTTTCATTTAGTGACTGAGAACAAGTCTTTAAGATCAAGTGAAACTAAATTAATGTCATAAGTGAGATGGGAGTGTTAATGATTTTTAGCATTTAGGTACATCAAGTAAAATGGACATAGATAATAAGTATGCAAATCATGACTTGACATAATTCTGCAGTTTTCCATGATATGACAATTATATGGCAATGCCATTGTAGCTATAAGCTTAAAAAGAGGACATGAAGATATTACTTTAATATGCTAATAAGTGATGACCTTATTTAGAAGATTAATTAGAAATACTAAATGTTGGGAATTTCATACTTAAGGTTTGGAGCAAAGGTGAAGGATCAGACACAGATTATGCAAAGTAAACTCATATCATATAAGAAAATGGTTATTATTAAGTAACCTCACTTATAATTATATATTGAGGAAATGCTGTATTAGCCTTTTTTGGTAGAATATGACTTTCATACATGGGTCATAATATGTAATATATAGATATAAAACTACCGGTACATACTGTGGCCTTAATAATTATAATAACTTAAAGACAGTTACTGTAACACTTACTGTAGTATTTTGCTTGTTGACCTTGTGGTGCAGTGAAATAAAATTGGGTAAAAATGGAATCTGGTTACTGTGTTTTATGTGGATTAACATAATATGATCATTCTGATTTGTGTGTGTGTACAGTGTGTGTGTACAAATCTACACAGGAAAAAAAATTACTGTTGTGTGGCTCAGCAGAGAAGGGTGCGTTGTACGGCAAAAATTAGATGTTACCTTCAGAAGAGCCTTCACTACAGTTTTTGATTGATATCGGTACAAAGGCCGCTACGAAAGCGATTTTAATGTACTTCGTTTTGTCAAGTTTTGGTTTGTTTGCGCCACTCCTGCAAACGCAGGCTTTTGACGAGGTTTGTGGGAGATTGGGCGAATCCACTAGAATCATAGGGATGGATAGTATGTGTTGGAACGTAACATTCTGACAATTCCAATGACATAATTAGCTTTATCGATGCTACTAACAGATACAGATAAATTAATCAAAATTGCTCGTATATAAAAACATTGGAAAGTTTCATGGATTCTGGAAAAAAGTACTAGACTCTCTCCCCAATTAAAATATATTTTCCTAGGCCCTCCCCCCTGAGGGGGATGCAGAATACACTGTGTTGTATTTATATCAATTATTCATCATCGGCCTCCTTCCGTCTGAGTAGACGATGGGCTTGGCACTGGAGGGGTCTGGCACCGTCTCTGGTGGCTGAACAGGCCGATCCGTGAGTGGCAGACTCTGCCACATGTTGAACAGGTGAACCCAAGAAAACACGCCTTTCAATGCAAGATGAGCCCAAGTTTGGTGTCCCTAAACTAAACATATTCCAACGTCCAAAATCTGTGTTCAAATTTTCGAAAGCGGCGCACACGGTTAGGGCAAAACGTGTTTGAATCGTTCTCAATAAGGGGATAACATACTTTCCGTTGCGGCCCGGTCCGGAACCCGTTCTCGAACGTTATCGCGGCCCGGGTATGATATAAACTCCCTTATTATGTTGTGTGAAAGGATGATGTGCAGTCATGATACATGTAAGTACTGTGCATGAAATTTTTTATGACTTGGTTGGCATACATTGTACCTAATTTTAGCTGATGTAGTAGCCAGTATGTGAGATAAGAGAGGGGGGGTGAAGGTACTAGGGGACTGTACGATATTTACCGGGGGGGGAGGGCCGGTCGTCTGAGGGGGGAGGGCCTAGGAATAAAATTTTGAGCCGGGGGGAGGGCTTAGGAAAAAATATTTTAATTTGGGGGAGGGCCTAGGTAAAAATTTTTTCAAGATCCCTTTAACTCTACAACGTTTTTATACACTTTCAAAACATGATTAAACGTCTGTCCTATACATATCGTAGCGATTTTCCAGTCATTGGAATTGGCAGAATTTTACGTTCCAATAATATCCATCCCTATTATTATAATGTATTCGCCCAAATCTCCCACGGTCCCCTTCAAAATCTTGCATTTTCGCCAGAATCGGCGAAACTGGACTACACAGCCAAATTACATGGATTAAAATCGCGGCAATCGAAACGATACCGATCAAAAATGTAGGGAAGGCTTGTCTGAAGATTTTGAAAATTAATTTTCACCATTCAACGCACCCTCCCCAGTGGTGTGCGTGCGTCGCCAAAGGTGACCCGCTGGTCCCGCCTCGCAACTCGGTCGAACTTCTCGGCGTGGATGTCGGATGTCGACGGATTAATTTGGTATTTTTCTTAAGCCAAGGACTATTTTAACATTTATATCTATGTCCCTCCAAAGTTAATTGAAAATAACATGTAAGTTGCATTGGAAGAAGTTCGTGGACGAAAGGTAGGCTAGATAGAGAATTATTTCGATTACACTGACTGACCATAATGTTACTGACTTTAAATTTATAGCTCAATGTACCAGCGAAATTTGTGCTGCCAAATTTGCTCCTCAACATGCAAAACATGGGTTGAAAT